ATTGCTACAGGTACTTAGGTTTAATTTTTTATTTTAGTCAAAAATTATGTACTTGCCACTGCCGCTGTTACTAGTTCCCAGATTGGTGACCAGCCGGGTTCGTATGGTAGCAAAACCCTTGTACACGTGTTGCTTACCAACCTTAGCGTAACAAACCCTACCAACCATAGTCCACAATCCCCACAAATGGGTAATGGCCCCATTTTCTGGGCTCAAGTTCAAAAAAAATAAAATGTATTTTTATTTATTACACATTAATCATCAGTACTTACAGTAAGTAGGTAGTTTCGGTGGACTCAAGGATTCGGTTTCCGCGGTGAACGTAGGACGCGCCATCTGTTGACGACTGAGTTACGGATAGGTCCGCGATCTAAACTTACTGACGGCGGCGCTCTGCATAATATAATGATAACATCGTGCTGATAACGCACGCGCACTCCTTCGACTCCCCCGCACCGCCGCCGGGACAGACCGACCCCGTTGCGATTTGCGATCACGACACTTTCGTCCACAACTCCCACACCACCTGCCGGGGACCATTACCGCGGTCGTCAACCATTCCGCCACCACATCCACCCCCACCACCATTCGCCAATCATCGACACCGCCACCTTCACCACTCGCCGATCTTCATCATCACCACCTCCACCACTCGACAGTCACCACTACCGCTGTCCGCTCTACTTGTGTACGTACGTCCGATGTCGTACGGTACTATACTATTATATCGTTTTACATTTTTCTACTTTGTTCCTGCTGCAGTGGTAGTCGTGATGTCCGCGGCCGCGTTCCAAATTTAACTCCGCACGCACGCACGCCGCACGGCACCTTGCTAAAACAATAACAACAAAAGACTACGAGACGGCCGACGATTTTTTTCGCAAACAACCTATTTTGATTTTAATAATATGTCGCGAAAGCCTCTTCGAGTTTGATTTATTACCTACATTGCGATGTCTGGTGTCGTCAGTGGTTCGTGACGCAAATATTTTTCGCCAGCCCTCCGGTGATTTGGAATTCATTCGGTTTCGACAAAAATATTTGGTATATATTAAGAAATAACATTAAACTGGCGGTGCGCGCGATGACCGGTGCGCCAATGGTTATTCCGAGGGTTATTCGGTATTCGGACGACTTCGTCGTCGTCGAGTCTTCGTCGTGACGACAGGTGGACGCGAACACAGAGTGCCGACTGCCCATTGTTATCGGTCCGATTGTTTAGTGGCACCACCTACTACCGAGCAGAAGACATTGATTGTGACGGTTTTGCCGTTGTCTTGTGTACAAAAGAGTCCAAAGAGACCGGATTCGTTAACCGGTGCCGAAGACGTGTGACGGGATGGAAATCTATGAGCATCAGACGCCGACCGACGATGTCTTAGCCTCCGCAAATCACATCGACCGTTCTGCGATCGTAATATAGACCGACTACAAAGTCACTCGCGTAAGTGTTTACACATTTGATTAATAATAATACATATATCGATCGTTGGCAGCCGATGTTTAAAAAAAATTCAAATCTCTTCCCTGGTGTTGTTCGCCCAACAGATGACAACTGCTTGTCCGTATGCATAGTCAATTTATGTGACACACAAATTTACTATGCTTACGGATATTAATGTCTTATCATTAGGTCTTAACAATTTGTCACTACCTAGGTACCTAGTACCGAATTGTCCTGTCCAACATTTTTGAAAGTGGTCTAGGTAAGAGGTTTGGCAAGATTTGGACACTGCTCTGGTGATACGAGCAAAACCTGTATAAATTTGATCTTTGAGTGCGATGGTTTAATATTACGAATAAATTAATCACTGATCATGTGTTATTTAGCCTACTTTCAATATCCCCTTTCAGCACATTTTTAAACGTTGGCAGGTAGATAATAATATTATATTGAACTGCCCAATTATTGTTTTCTGCATGATTGACAAGCAAATTGGTCCTTGTTTCTATTATATTTTTTTCTTACAAATTGTGGTTATTCCTTTGCAGCTACCTATGCCATTAAAAAAAAATAATAATAACAATCATACCCATGGTGAGGCAATTATTTCTAGTCTACTTTCATTAGTAAATAAGTTGATAAAAATACCTAGGTACCTATTTAATTTCCAAACCAATCTTTTGTTTATTCTGTAAAAAATGTATTTATTTTTTAGGAACCGTTGTATTATACTAGGTATTATATGATAATCATATGATTTTATGTATAAAAATAAAACTATAAATTAATATATTAAATAACTATTTTTGCTACCTATATTTTTTTTCCAAATATAAATTATAGTCAAATTTAATGCACACCTAATGAAATATAAGGCACCTTCAACTTGTGACAATTAATTTTTTGACGCAGTGAATGTGTTGTTAATCCAGTACAAACTAATAATAATACTAGAATCTTTTAGTTTATATGGGTATATGAAGACATTATTTATAACCTGTTGGTACAAAACATCAAATAGTATTTTATAAAAAAAATGTAAATATGTTATCATGATACTACGATAATATTATATAACATATAAGTTGTGATATAAAATAGACAAAGTATAAAAAAAAAGGAGATTACACGTTTATACTTCGGTAGACGTCGGTAGATATATCAAAAATAATTGTACTTGTATTTTAAGGGAAAATTTAAGCCAGATTCAATGAAAAAGTTTCTCAAGTTTCTATTGTTAGTGGGCAGGATTAAATTGTTATTTTATTTTTACTAATTTAAATATGATTCAGGCTTCAAATTTTTTTTATTATGAATCATTATGAATTTTACCTCGAATTTTACTTTAATCAACACAAATATTATGTTTCCTCTTATTAATAATCTAGTATTAAAATTCAAATACATTACTGTTGTAATAAGAATCAATATTTTTGTGGTAAATTGTTATTACGACTATGGTTACTGATGAACTATATCTTGCAATCAATTGGCATGCGTTAAATTTTTTAGCTACCACTAAATTACATGACAACATAATTTTAATACTGCCTAGTACAGTAGTACATATTATTTGTATTTTTTGTAATTAATTATTTAAATTTAACAGTATCTTATAAATTTGAATTAAAAGTTATAGGTATTTATTATCAATTATAAAAACAAGATAACTTTAAAAAAACAACAACACTTAGTTATGTACCTTGGTACACGTTTAACAAATATTTCTTAGATAATACATAGTACTATCTTTTTTTTATTTGTAATGAAACAATTTCTTTACCATTAAACGGTAGTTATGTGAACATTTATCATATTTCTCGACATTTAATGTTAAGAAAATAAACCCTTTTAAAATTGAATAAAAAAGTTTAGAACTAGTGTATAACTGACACACCTACCTAATATAATATAATTTATTAGATAAGTCACTAGTTGTACGTGTAATGTGTATGGTGTATAATATATTTTAACTATTATTTTAGAGATAATATGAATTTATTATAATACCATTGATTATACTATGTATAATCAATGATATTACATATTTTATTGCTACTTGTGCATATGGTTTATATTCCTTAATTGTTGGTGTTTAATTTATAAAATTGAACAATTAAATTAAATTTGTTTTATTATATATCAAACATATATGTTAAATTTACCCACATTACTCACTAATCACATTGTGCTTATAAATACTGGGATTTAGGAATTCTATTACAAATAAACATTAACCTACTTAAAATGGTTTTAATTTTAAAATAAGCGTCTACCTCTAGTAAAGAATAAAAATTAATTAAATCCTTAATAATGATTGTTAATCTTGATAACCTGCAATTATGTACAATTATAACATTTATAAATTCAAGTTTTAATCAAGCTATTTATATTTTGAATGCTTATTCATTTTTAACAATGAAATATTACTTGTATTATATATTTTTTTAGAAGAATTTGAAAGTACTCACTTAAAAAAAATGTAAATGTAATGTTAAAAGAAACTTAAAATGTAGCCCATTAGACTTCCCTGTTTCCATTTTCGATCAACTTATGAATATATTAAAAAAAATAATATACCTATAGGTACCTGTTTGATGATATGTTATGTAAACCCTCCATAAACTACCTATATGGCTTAGATTCTTGTTAGTGGGTAGGGCTTCAATGTTACATTATCTGTTATGTTCTGATGTTTCTGTACAGTAAAAAAAAAACTACATAGTAGGCATTACATAAACAAAATTATAATTATTACACTCAAGTAAAGTTTCTTCAAATGTATTCTGTTTGATTAGATTTATAAATAAGAATTACAAAATAGTAACATAAATAATAACTTAAACGTTTTATACTAACTGAAATTGCTAATTTAATCAAAATATTAAGATTAGATAGTAGGTATATGCTGGGTTGTAAAAACAGTTTATTAAATTTAATGGTTCACTAAAAATTTAATGGAATAAGCGTTAAATCTTGTTTAAGGGACCATTAGCTCACTATTGATTCATTAAATGTTTTGTGCAACCCGGTAATAATATATTATTTTTAACTTTAATTATTAAAAGGCAATTTACTTAAGAGTACTATATTTTAATGAAGTAATGGTTAATATTTATGTCAATGGTCAGCGATTCCCAAATATTGATTTGCCCCGTCCGAGGTGTAAATATATTGCCCATGCCTTTCAATAACTTATCTCTAAATAAGGTAGATTAAAAATATATACCTAACAGTAAAGCTAATACAATTTAATGTATAATACATAGATATTGGCATATTGTGGTTGTGGGCCTATATCTATGAAACAAAAACTTACCTATTTAGTCGGCTAAACAAATTTGGTATATACCTACATTTTAATAATTTAATAATAATATTAAATCAAAGCTTTCCTTGGTTGTCACTGGTCATAGTTTGGAAATTATTGATTTGTTTTATGTATATATTTTGATAATTAGGTACCTATAATTATTAAAATAATTGTAGTTTTTGTTTTAAAATTCTTACTTTATTTATATTTACAGAAGAAGACTTCACTGTCAAATATACCAAAATGTCTTCCCAAGTAGATTACCAATGGTAAGATATATTACTATATATTATTTTATCAGAAATTATTTCAAATACCCATTTGAATTAAATCAAATTATATACATTTTTCAGGGCATATACAATAATGGATTCATCTCGGGTCTCCACATTTTTGATATCTATTCTGTTAATTGTTTATGGCAGTTTCAGGTTAATAAATATTAATTAAATAATACACCTACATGTTTGCTCTGACATTGTTTGCAATATATTTATTATTATTTTTATATTTTATACCTTTCCAGATCTTTAAATATGGAACAGGAAGCCAGAGAAAGAGAAAAAGAAAAATCTAAGAACTCCAACGGAAGCTCTGTGTGCTTAACAGATATTAGTAAGCAAAAACAAGGTTAACATGCTTTAAAATAATTTCATTTCAGTATTTTACAACATTGAGTGTCCATAAAATGTATATAAATGTTTCATAGACTTTTGTATCTGTTGAAATTAGTTATAACTTATAAGTAATATTTTTACTTTATCATCCAAATAAACTAAAATAATTTGAATTTCTTAAAATTTTCTGGACTCTAATATGCTCTGAAACTGATGGTATTGTTTTGTAAATTAATTATTATATCAATATAAAATATGCTTGTTATTAATAAATTATTTGTTTTTTTATTTCATAGATGTTCAAACACTGGATACTATGCAAGCTTTGTGTTTGCCTCTTGGAGCTTCAATATCACTGTTAGTCATGTTTTTCTTCTTTGATTCTATGCAAATGTTATTTGCTATATGCACTGCAAGTAAGTTGATCTTTTGTTGTATTGAGTAAATATTATGTTCAATTTCCATATTTCAGTGCATCATGACATAATGTTATATCTCTTATGTGTATTAACTTGATTTAACTGTTTTATAATTGTTAATTATTAATTGTTATTTAACTTGAATTTTAATCTTATTAAAAGCGTTTTAATCATAATAATATTATATTGGAAGTAAAAAATAGAAAGTACAGAAATCATGTCTGTTATTTGATTATGTCATACATACTAAATTACAACTTGTATATAATCAGGTTTTCATTTTTATTATTAAGGGGATTAAAGTGTTGATTTACTTTTTTTTTATCACACATGTATACATGCAATATAGAAATTAATAAAAGTATATTTCCAGTACCAATTGAAATAATGATATAATAAGAATTCTAAAAATAGATTCTAATTTGTCTTGAAGTATGTACATTAGTGATGTGACTTTTGACAATGTTTTTTATTCCTTTGCTTTAAGTTTATCAAACAATTGAATATAATAGCAATTTTTTATGTTAAAATTTTTCTCATTTTCTTTGTTGTGACTTATAGAGATACAATTGAAAATGTGGAAAAGTTAATATCATGACTGCTTGAAAAATTAAAATTGTATATTTAAAAACCTTATCACATCATAAGATCAAATTATATCTCAGGTGGAAATAAAATACAAAACCTATATCTACATTTTTATACACTGGTGTTTAAAAGAGATTACAAGTCATTGCTTCTAATCCTCAGAACATATTTTTTTGTACTTGGGTTATAAAACGAATTGTATTTGAACAAAAAAAAAAACAAATACAAATTCGTTTACAACTAACTAAACATTCTTCACAAATATCTCATTACCATTAATTTTATCCTGTTATAGTAAGTATATTTTAATACTCATAATTATATTTTTTTTGTTTCAGTTATTGCTACTGTTGCATTGGCATTTCTTCTGCTGCCCATGTGTCAGTACATCATTAATCCTTGCTCGGATGGAAACAAGTAAATTTATATTTCAAAAAATACTCTAGTTTAATTTTATTATAACTAAAAAAATTTTTAGGATCTCTTTCGGTATATGTGGTCGTTTTACTATGGCTGAGTTGCTGTCTTTTTCAATGGCATTGTTTATAGTTTGTATCTGGGTACTGACTGGACATTGGCTGCTAATGGACGGTGAGTGCTGAATAGTATACACTAATTAATTTTAAATGTTTTTAGATTTTAATTTTTTCTAACTGTAAATAATAATAATATGAAATTAAAATCAACATATAAATTTGCTTCAATAACTTTAAATGACAATTTTTTTTTCTTTAATTAAGAGTACAATTTATCATTTTTATATTAATTATTTGTAGAAACTGTTTTGAATGATTATTCAAAGTAGCAAGTACTAAATAAATTATTGTTCAATTTTTGTAGCAATGGGAATGGGACTCTGTGTAGCATTTATTGCCTTTGTCCGACTTCCTAGTCTTAAAGTGTCCACTCTTCTGTTGACTGGTCTTTTGATCTATGATGTTTTCTGGGTGTTTTTCTCGTCATACATATTTAACACCAACGTTATGGTCAAAGTGAGCATTACATATGGGGCTGTTAAAAATTGCTAAAATATTTATTGTTGCGTTATATATTAAAATAGGTGGCAACAAGGTCAGCAGAAAATCCTGTCGGAGTAGTGGCTCGAAAGTTACACATTGGCGGAGTTGCCAAAGAAGCACCAAGGTTATCTCTTCCTGGAAAATTAGTGTTTCCCAGTATTCATAATGGGCGATTTTCAATGCTTGGGCTCGGGGATATAGTGAGTTATACTTTGATATTAATTTATTAGTAAGTATTCAGGTGAATAACTATCAATATTGTTTACTATTGCAGGTTATGCCGGGTCTATTACTGTGTTTCGTGATGCGGTATGATGCATATAAGAAATCTCAGCTTCTACATTTCGGAGAAACTGGCGTTCCACCTCCAAGACATCTTGGCAGAATAAGGCAAGAGAATATCTTACTATGAAATTGTAACATTTGTGAAAAACAAAAAGATAACATTGCTAATCTTTTTTTGTCTTCTGTAGTTACTTCCACTGTTCGCTAATCGGATACTTTCTGGGCCTAGTTACCGCTACAGTGTCTTCGGAAATTTTTAAAGCAGCTCAGCCAGCACTACTCTATCTAGTTCCATTTACACTGTTGCCTCTTCTGACCATGGCTTATTTAAAGGTAATATTTATACTCCAGTTGAGAGTAAAATTTTGTTTTTTAAAAATGGTTTTTTGTAAATAACTATTAATTAACCTTTTAAATAATAATTGTTTAGGGTGATTTAAGAAGAATGTGGAGTGAACCATTTATAATACAACAGCCTTCCAAACATATGGACGTATAGTCTGCGGTAGCATTTACTACTATTATGTATATTTATTTTTAGAACCATTTTTGTACAATTTTCTCTTTTAATTATTTTGTGTAATAGATCTATATAATATGGTTGCCCTTTCTACTTGAAGGGATATTTAAAAATACAATGATAGGTCTTATGTTTTCTGAAATCAAGGTATACTTTTACAAATTATTTCTTTTTCAAATATGATCTTTTTATCGATTGAGAGATTGTGATGTTTGTTAAATTCCATATTGAGTTTCCATTTATGCACTCATAAATGACACATAATATGCCGATCAAATATACATAATATATTATTTATACATTTACATTTTTTCATACTATATAAACTTTTCGTTAGGAAGGGACTTGTCTTGTTAGTTTTAAATAATGGAGGTGGCTAAGTGTTAAAATTTTTAAGTAAATCACTAATTATTATTACTGCCCTTCAAAGTATCAACTATCTACTGCTTAAAAAATATACAATATACATATTTTAATTTTTCAGCAAATTACGAGATCTGTTTATTATATTTTTTAGCAAATAGTATTTCATTAAGAATAATATTTAAAGATTCATACAGATGTTTTTCAAAGTAATATTTTTTTCTTTAATTTTATTTCATACTATTTTTTACTATTGTGGAAAATATTGAGAAACGCTAGATTTAATAAATTTCTTAACCATAAAATTTAATTGAAAGTAACAGTTTAGGCATTGCATTTGCACAATTTATGCAGCTATTATAGTTTTCTGGAATCTCTAATGTATGTTGAAAATATTGTTTAGAGTTTTTGATTTGAGTTTAATTTGTACGATATGAATTCGATATTTTGACATGAGTTTGTTATCATTTTATCAAACTAAATGAACGACGAGAAGTTTACCTAAGACTGATTTATTTTCTTTTTTCTTTAGTATTATTATATTTTATTTTATTATAATTGAGCAAAATACCTAACTTGTATTATCTGAAATGTGTTTATTATTACTAATCATTGTATTGTATCATATTTATTTTAAGATCTATGTAATGTCTCACTAAATGTATTCGTAACTCATATTTGTTTTCGAGAAGCTAAATTCAAATACGTAGTTTCCTACAGCATATTATTATACCAATTTTATATATATATTTTTTTCATTATATATAATTATATTTGATTAATCTTCTGTTTATTATTGTATATATTATAGATTCTAATCTATCTCTCATCTTGTCGACCATCTGGTTTTAAGTTAAATTGTCTTTATATTACGTTATTAATTGTCCTACTGTATTAAGTTTACTATACATACAATACGCATAAATAAGTACATAACATTGTATAAATCATATTATTGTTATTATTATACTTAATTGATGACAAAAAATGTACGAAAGTGTTTGATTTAAAACAAATAGGTATTATAATTATTTTGAAGATAAATTATAGCGATTCATACGCTATTATAGCTGTGACGTTTTAAATATATCTAAAGTATGCCTTTTTGTTTCTTTAACGTAAAATGTAATTTCCTCACTATAATGGTCTCTTTGAATAAGTTAAGTAACCCATGCCACTGTTTTATTTTATACCCTTTTTTCTGGCTGTGATGTTTAAATAATATTATAACAATAGGTAATTCGCTTTTAAACAAACGGCAAGAAGTAGTGTCTAATATAGATTATTATTATTGTTTCTTCAAAAATATAAACTTGATATAATAAATTGTAATATCATATTATTATATTATTACTAAATGCTAGTAATCAACAATAATAATATGGCTCGTCAAACGAAGATACGTCTGAATAGGTACACATAGTACCGTGTTATTTTGTCTTTTGTTTATATATTCGATAAATATTATGTACGTCAGCCATAAGCCAAAAAAATTAATGATAAATAAAAACAAATACATGTGATAATATTGTTCTATTCTAGAAATAGTTTATAATTTTTTACCCGTTCGTGTGGATTACCAAACGCTCTTGTGACCCACAATTACTTTGAATTTGTAAATTAATATAGAACATTTTTGGTTTTTTTTTTTTTTTGTTATACTGATATTATATTATATTAATAAAACTTACGTGATGTTTTACTGAAAACGAATGTATTTTTTCCAATTATAAGTGAGATATTATCGACAAAACTCGGAAGAAACACCAGCTCGTGATTTTGTTGTGCTCTCAAGGGATGATGTTGAGGGTAAAGTGGTTTTGTTTGTTCCTGCAGTTATCCTTTGATATCAGATGTAATTTACGGTTTTACCACATCATTAATTATTGGACATTTCTTGATGTATTTATTATGCACCTTCTCAGTTCTGGCTATGATTTAGTTTTTGTAAGGTTTTTTTACCTCACCATCTATGTGGACATTTAAGTCTTGATTCAGAAACGGGATATGGTGACTGGTGAGTACTCTGCTATGCCTAAGCTGATGTAAATTTGAGCCAATTTAATGAAAGTATGTATTAGTGTTTTTAATAATAACTGTATACTGTAATTAAGTAATAAAAAAAACAGGAAGAAATACCAAATAGTGTTAAACCATTCTATTCTTGTATTTTAATATTAGCCCAACATTTGGGCCGATTCACAGATTTATATTTCTAGTATGCCCCTACATTATATGTTGCCTACACAAAACCAAATATATCATAAGAAGCTCGTGAACCGTTATCTGTGGTCTTCATCAGAAACCTAGTATACCTCTCAGCCTCAAACGTTTTCACAAAGAAAAGATTCATAACCTGCAATAATCAACGTATGTGTGATATTCAATTTATTTACAACATTTAATAGTAATCTTTAATATTTATAAAATAATTAATATAATATGATAGGTATATACAAACAATTTCTAAATGGGATATTGTCATGACGTTATGCATTCGTTAAACATGGCCGGAAACCAGTATGAGAATTCACCTTCATTTTGACTGTCCACCCAGCACAGGCCTTCGATCACCATTTGACTGATAGCATTGACTGCCCTCGTCTCTTCCCAATTGAGTTGTACTTTGAGGGAAGAGAGACTGACACAAGGACTGCCAGAAGAGGATAGCAGTTTAAGCACGGCTGTCTGATCCATGCTCAGTTCTCCGGGCACAGACTGCACCATATACTGGCCCTTGCCGACAGGTATCACGCAAAAACCATTGCCAAATATCTTTAGCTTCTTGGCAGCACACAGTAAGTCGTCGACCGTGATTTCTTGATGCTGTATATTACGACCTCTGGCTTTTATCTGAAAAACGAACGGTATGGTTTAAGTGGAAGCCGCAAGCCTTAGGGGGGTATGTACGATTTTGACAGACAAATTATTGTTAAACAACATCAAAAATAAATAAAACACCTAAAATTGCAAAACACTCACCAGACGATCCCTTAACTCGTCCAACCCAATGATACCCCCGTTTTTGTAACTGGTCGCCATGCACACTTCGACGATTTGAACAGCCAATTCGTAGTAAAAATCACCGATGCCCAGGACCGACCAAAAGCCCTTTCCCGAGGCCAACGGATCGACGCCAATGGACGAGCACATTTCTTGAAACTGTCGCCTGAACTGTGAGTTCTTCTTGATTTCGTTTTTGTACTTGGTGGCAAATTCCTCCAAATTCCCGCGGAACACTTCCATTTGTTTGGTCATCTGTTCAAACTGATTCTCTTGAATCACCGTCCCTTTGTCTTTGTACTTTTCTTGTTCCAATTTTTGTTTCTGAATGGCACCGACCCCGGCTCGCCGCCTCATTTTCAAAAAGCAGCTCTTGAAATATAAACAAAAACAACTATAGACGTGTCTCCACTGACTCCACTCGGTAGTTCTATGTTGGTATGCAGTCTGCTGCTGAGTGCTGGCTGACTGCTGACTGCTGAGTGCAGGCGTGCAGCTGCTGACAGAATAAGACAGATGCAGCAGCTGCATATATATATTGATAATATTATCCAACGACTGTTATCAGCGTTATGCTTATCGTTATCACTCACCGCCGGCTCGTCAGGTGTTTTTTTTATAGTCACGCCGTGCCGCCGTCGTTGGTCGTCACTCGTCAGTCGTTACAAATAATTACAATCGTGCATTGATTCTACCTTAACCTATTACATATTATCATAGTACTTACTTGTCAGTCATAAAAAAACAATGTTCTGCTTGACTGCGATTCGTGCGTGTAGGCCGTGGCCGTCAGTCGTCGCGGCCGTGACCAAACGTCAAGGCCTGAACACACGGAGCTCGCCTGCCTTGGCCGCGGCCCAAGCGCAGAGCGGCATCAAAAAGCGCACCCAACGCCGGAAGCCGGCAGTCGTGGAAGACACGGGTCAGCGACAGGGCGTAAGTCGTCGTTAATATCCGTTTTATCCTTGGGGGGGGGGTATACTTTCCATGTGGTTACCGGTCGGTACTAACCAGTCCTCGAATTGGGATATACGTAGAACTTAAACTTTAGAAAAACTCAATCTAACGATTTAAAAACCGCAATCCAAGTAAAAAATTATTCAACACATAACTGGCTTTGCCCATCACCGGACATCACATCCTCCGAGCATCGCTAAATTTGTCACCTACCTAAATAGAAATTCTAAATTTAAAAATATATTCAGCTAGGTATGTTAGTGAACGTGGATTTATGTACCCCCTATTGTTATCTCCTAAATTTGCTTATACATTTAGTCGTCACTTTAAAAATGGAATTTCATTGACAAAATTTAAATAGGTATTTAAATAAAAATCAATTTGGGCATTAGCTTGTGCCGTCCACCCAGTTCCAACATGAAAAAAATAGTTGGGTTACACAAAAAAAAAAATTAGAGCAGCTCCGCTTTCCGCAGCTGCACTTTCCAGCTCAAGTATAAAAAAGCAAGTTCTGCGGTCCCCGAGTTATATGGCTCACACGGCTTAACAGGCCCTACCCACTTCATACTTGCTACGGTTTATCTGTTTACTCGAAGTGAATGAATTAGCATGACGTATGGTTCACACCGAACCAACTTTGGCAATCGTGCAGTTTATAGATACGCGATCGTTTTCTTATTTTGAAGGCTAAACCACTCTTTTATAGTGTGCAATAACCAATAAGAATATAGAACTGTGTCTTATAAGGATGAATTTAAGGCGATGCATTTTTAACAAAATATTTAGTTAATACCTATTATTAACTATACAGAGTGACATTAATATGATTACTTTTATTTTTTTCTAAATATAGGTACCCAATTAAAAATGAAAGATCATAATTTCAAATACCTTTAATACCTCGGTAGGTACTTGAAATGTTTTGACTATCCTTTACGTAAGGAGTGTCGTATGGAGATACAAACTGCTGTAGTGCTGTTTTTCAAATGAAAACAGTGGGAGTTTTCATTTGAATAACATAAATTTGTATAGTTCTTAAGTAGTTCGGAAAATCTCAATAATTATAGAAAAGTAGAGGTGAGCATTTAGATAATTTTCCGGCTCTACATTAAAAGAATTTGAAAATTTTGGTACCCGTAGCTGGTTTATAATAATAAAACCTAATTAACTTTTTAACGGAATACTATTTTTCTTCATATTCTAACTTTAAACTTTTCGAATTAAATATACTTATATTGTTTGTTAGCCTCTAGGGCCTAGGCACTAACTCTAACTTATAACTGGACGTTGTTAACGTTGACTCAACTCAATAGGCGCAAGTAGGGGGGGGGACTTTAGACCCTAAAGTCCCCCCCCCCAAATCCCAAACGCTATTTGCGCCTATGCTCAACTCGTTAGTCGTTAGTCGGTCAAATTTGTTCATTAACTCGCCTCGCCTTATTGTGGCACCCATTGACCAGTAATTATGTAGGTACCATAAAACAATGTTATATTATACAATTTATACGTACTTGACGTATCCATATAGTTTTGGTGCGTGTCGGCGTTCTCGACTGCCGAAGAGTTTCGCCTGGAACAACTGTCGGCGGCGCTGTCCAAGACGAACATGTACGAGCCCACGTGCCTGTACAGCGGTTCCGACGATAGCGCAGGTGAGCGAGACCACGTTTTGAAACAATCATTGATGACGACATTTTTCGATATAATATTTGATCCAAAATAAACCTTGACACAAAAATTTACTAGATATACGCCTAACCATACCGTACCATGATACATAATGTACCTGTAACCTGTATCCCGTGTACAACTATTAGGTACAACTATTCTACTGTCAAATCTCAAGTCAGTCTGTAGTTATTATAATGTGTGCGGATATAGTGAGTCATCGAGGATTATAGTTATAGTTACAGAGGGTTAAATTAAGCCTACATTATTAACGTGTGGTGTGAGGGGATCATCCATAACAATATAGTTTTACCTAATAAAACATTTAAATCGCCCCCCCCCCCCCCCCAAAAAAAAAAAAACATTTCCTACATTTTGTTTTAAGCTTGTTCAATATTATCAAAGTATGGTTTAAGCCCCCCCCCCCAAATCACCTTTCGCTATTTGCGCCTATGGCCTTAATAATATCTTGGAAGACAGTAAATTAGTACACGATATTTGAAGCTCTACAATATTGTTTTGTCTAATATTTTTGTATAAAAAATAACTAAGAAATAATAGTATACATAATAAATAACATGATAGATGTAGAAGAACACATGATGAGGGAATAGCCATCCAATGATAATTAATATTACCTATAACCTTTTAGAACAGAATTTGTTTATTGAATTAACTAATTATTTAGTAGTCACGCGGCACAAATCCTTTTGAGGCTACGTGAAGGGTTTGTCAAGAAGAGTGCGAATGTCGGACGAGAGAGACTATAAATAGAGGGTTAGGATGGCGTTCGAGTTTTCAGTGAAACCCAGGGGGTCGTGACTCGTGGCTGGGCTTGGCCTCAAACTACAATATTATATATTATTAAATAATAATACTATAACAGGCCAACCATATAGACCCATAAACTAGTTAATAGGTATAATATGCTGCCCTACAGTATACAATACGAACCTTGACAATTTTCAGAAACTGCGCCGGCGGACGTCATTCACGCCGTGTCCAAGTTCCACGTGACCAACGAGCCCAGGCATTTGTATTTCTTCCGCGAGGGCTCGGTGGTCGGATGGAACGTGTCCGACCTCGAGGTCAGCAGCCTAATCAACTTCCTCGCCGAACACGAGATCGGGTCCTACGACGACCACATCGTCATGGGCGAGAGAGAAGTCATGTATTACGCTTACACGAACGACAAGTAATGCGCATTGATATTATAGTAAATAAGTCATATGGGAGTAGATTAACAGGACGAGCGAATTCACCCTTAAATTTTCGAGTGGTGGTGGTGTTCTCCGCAGTTCGCCGGTGGTGTAATTTTTCACCGGACACGCACCCACGTGATCCTCTATATGCCCATACTGCAGGAAATATAAGCAGTTCCAGGACAACTCCACTATACCTCCATCACAACAACCCCTTATTTATTTGGTGGGATTTTTTTTCTCCACAAAAAAGGGTAGTTTCCATTTTCCTCCGAACTCTTTTTGCGGACTAAAATCATGTCTTTTTTCATTCAAATATTAAAAAAATTATCGGTGTTTTAGTTACCACCAACAACCTTAACTGTATTGTAGTGTTCTGTGTTGTGTACTGTATTATAAAGAACCAGTAAGGTACAACTATATAATAATTAATAACAGTCGATAGTCTCGTAACGTATTGTATAAGACGAAGATTCAAAAATAATTTAAAATGTAAGTAGGTAGGTATGTTCAAAGTTTAAACTAACGGAAATTGTCAACAAAAAAAAAATCTAAAAATCTAATAAAAATAGAAAATCTAAAATTCAAAAATTGAACTCATTGATACTATTATTAATTCAAACTTAAAAGATTATCCATTATCCTACAAATTCACAGTCCTAAATAGGTATAAATGTTGTGGTGAATGTCCGGTAAATATGCAGCTGGGAATGAACGCTGCAGCTGCGACCGCCGGCGTGTTCGTACAAAATTTCTAACTCTTTCGTTTTTTGTTTATTTACAGAAAGAGTTCAATCCAAAAGGGAAATTTTCATCTGATCGGCGACGACGTGACGGCGTCTGACTTGGACCGGTACACGTTCTCCAACGCGATGGCGCACAGCGTCAAGCTGGGCACGTGGGAAGCGCTGCTTGAAGAGTACATAGATTCCGTGGAGGTCGTAACACAAGTGAGTTTTTTAATGTCAGAGAATTGAGGCGGACATTAGAAATCGAAGTTTCTTTAAGTTTAGAAAGCCGTCGACAAGTTTAGCTGGTGCTCGCTCTGCCGTATAGGTATACAGTGTGGGGGGAGGGGTCGACCGCTGTGTAGTTCTCGTGTCATTGAATGAGTTGAATAGGATCTGTAAAGCGTTTTGAATTCAATAATAAATCGTTGTATACGATGAAAAACTATTTTGAAAAATGTATACGGTTGATATTACCTGCAAGGTTACCAAACAATTATTATGTATTATGATAATAATATTAACATTTTAACTTATGTTTTATTTAATGCTCGTTTACTTTGAAAAGTACTGGGAATTTTTTTCTTTTGACCCCCTAATTACAAACTAGGTCCAATTTCTTACGATAAAACGCCTTCGAAATTGACGATAGGAACCAGTGGCGTATATAGTGGGTGAGCATAGTGGGCTGCAGCCCCTCCCCTCCCGAAATTACAGTCTTTTTAAATAGAACAACAATATATTTTATTAGGCACTATTATAAGTTATAATATTTAATAGCCTGTTGAATAATAACAAATACAAATATATTTATAGAAACTGTTAAATAAATAGTAGACAGTAGCGGTAGCCTCTGAGTAATAGATCACTTGCTAGTTTCTATCAACTATAGCCCGCCCCAAAAAATATTTCTACGTCACTGATAGAAGCATTTCTTTTACTAGAAAAAGTGTCATCAGACACATAAATAAGTAAAAAAAATACACATCATATTGTATTCGCTCCGCTCAGAATCTAAAATAATAATTTTTCGTGTACCTTGTCTCATCAATTTTATTCATAATACCTCGGTACAATATTCTCAGATTTTATCGTTAAATTCATTTATTTTATATGTGATTTTATCAAAATTTGAATTAATAATGAATACTAAAATGTTTATTGCATATTTAAATATTTTATGGATTTAAGTGGACAAGACGTGCTTAGATAGGTAATTTGTACTTATTGTATTTTTAGAGGTTGAAAAACAAATGCTTTGATTTTTTGCACACCAGACCTGATTCGTCAAAAGATCCTCACAAAAATCGCTTAACTTCATTGTGTAGGTACCTGACGTGCCATATTCCTATAAAATAAGTTTTTTCAAATAATCTTGGCATGAACTTCTTCCTGGACTTAAAATAAAATCACCAGTTTACTATATAATAAAATTGAAAAAAATATCTAAATGCCTTATGATAACTACCAGATCATCATTTTTAGCTTTTTATTTACAATAAAACCTAACATGCACCGGTTTTTTCTCCTTTAGGATCTGCAAAACGGATTGCCCATCCGGATCACCAGGAAAGAAGTCATGAAGAAAACCGGTGAACTGTTCGGACTGAGACACAGGATTAACTTAAGTTCGGATCTCCTCGATTTGCCAGACTTTTACTGGGAACGAGAACACTTAGAAACGTTTTACCGTTCTACCTGTAACTATTTCAGCATATCCACACGACTTAAGGTAAGTCTACGATAATTTATGCCTATCAACTGTTATTGTTAATTCTCTGATCAACTACTCATTCAGACCCTTTTTCCAGACCATGAATACCAAAATAAACCATTGCCTAGAACTTGTAGAGCTCCTGTCACACCATTTGAGCGACAAACATCACATCAGACTAGAATGGATGATCATCGTGTTGATTATGGTTGAGGTCGGCTTCGAAATCATTCACTATGCTCAATTGTTCATCAAATGAGCTGCTTCCACATGGGTTTCTTTACAATCTTTAAAAATATTATTATTTTCCTGTAAATGTTTGAATTTTTCAGACATATCTACAATTATATATTAAGTTAGGCATAATCTAAAATTAAGTTTATTATTATCATGCCTTGTGAAATAAATTGATGAGTCGTAGACCATTTGTTTTTGTACTTTAAACCTGAACATAATAATTGATATCCAATCGGTAGCTGATATAAATGTGTTAAATAATATTATTATTGACAGCATTTACAACAAATTGTATTCCAATTCTGTGTTAATTCACCCAAACACTCAACTGTTTATTTCATAAAAATACATTACATAATCTTTTAAAACAATTACACATTAAAAATCATTTAAAACAAAAAGAAGTTTACATTTATATTTAAAAAACATACATACATAAAATACATACTCATTAATTTCCAAATAACAAAATGTCAAATGTTTAAATAAAAGTTAGTTAAACAATAAAGTCTAAAAAATAAAACATATTGCACAGAATTTAAATAATATATATTGTCGTTACCAAAATCCTAAATCATTAATTATTCGACAGTAATAAAACAACAAAACGATTCAACTAAATAAAAATCTTAACGTGCGAAAATAAGAAAAATTACACAAAGTTAAAACATATTAGTCGTTAAACAAGTCATATAAAATTTAAATGTGAAAACAAAAGTATGATAAACTTACCAAACTGATTTCTTTCTTCTGTAGTCCTGCAACAAACAAATAATCATAATATTAAACATTGCCCGATTTATTTTTTAGAACATAGACACAAATTATTAATTGTTTTTCTTGAATTATTGTTATTTAAAATGTTAAAAGTATTATTATTTTTTTTTAAAGTATCATACTAAATACAATTAATAGAAAACTTTTGATTTTTAAATAGTAACATTTAATTAATTTGGATTTGAAATTAAACCACAAGCTATTTTTCCTGAAAATACATTTGTACTTGTATAGGAGTCTTGGATAAATATTTTATGATCACCAGTTGTTGTAACATACAGCTATATACACTAACAAAAAAACTATATACAATTAAAAATCCTAGCAAGGAAATGCCGTGTTACCTTTACTTGTTGCTATATATTTATAAAATGGTTACTTTAAATTAATATACAATTTTATTATATTATATTTGTTTTTTTTTTTATAAAATACCTCATAAATTCAATTACCAAAGAACATGCTGATAATGTTATAAAAAAAACCATTTCAAATTATTATGATACATACAAATAATTTAAAAATCATAGTTGGAAAAAAAGAAGAACCAATATTATTACAAATATATTTAATCTAATATGAATCAAATTTGAAACTCATGTTTAATAGTAGAGGTCAAAAATATATTATATCATTAATCAAATACTTGTAACTCACTGTTAATTTGGGATCATTCAACAAATTCATTCGAGCCATTTCTACCATCAATTTTTGTTCACGATCCATTACCTTCAACGCGGTCTTTTCAAATTGTCTATAGTCTGTGGAATCCTATAAAATAAAAAATAAAAACAAATTATTGAGCAAATTATAGGGACTTTATAACATATGCTTACCGATGATCGTACACCTTCATTGTTGTTGTCGTCACTGCCATAGTAGTCTGGATGCTGTTCAGTAGAACTCAGCTGACTCTGCTTCCAACCGTTTTAGTTCGTCATTGCCCTTTTCAATGATGCTGATCAGCTTTTCTCGTTCACTGATCAAGACTCGCTGCTCATTTAAACATTTATCAATGTTTTCTTCCAACTAGGAAAATAAAAAGGAGCCAATGTTGCATATTATATAATACAATATTAAGAGGACGTGGCATGTGTCGCCTCCGTCTCACAAGTGCGTACCATACCAAATTTTACCCCCAGCAGAACAAGTGTAGCTCCGTTAGTTTAAAATTAGATTGAATTAACCTCTTATAAAATCTAATAGTAGGATTATTATCTAGCCAACCTTATGGGCTTTATATTATATTTTATTTTTAAAGCGAGTTATGAGTATTTTGAAATGTACAAACAATTTACAATTTTAAAATAATCTTACTTTTAGATTTTATAAGAGGTCATTCACTCTGAATATTTTAATTAACTGAGCTACACGTGTTACAATTTACTATGTTACGCACTTGTAAGACAAATATAAGGATATCATGAGGGTATCATGTCCTCTTAAGAGGACGCCACACCCGCATGTGTTGTCTCCGTCTTACAAATGTACAACATAGCAAAAACTCTTTTGCGATGGACAACTTTTCTCGCACCATATTTGTTGTAGAACTACCAAATTTTCACAGCACTTAAAGAAGAACTTTAACTGTGCAACAGCGTGCTCTTTTTTTCAATAGCACCATCCAATCATTTTTTATAAGCAAATTAAAAAACCAAATGTTTAGAAGCAAATAACTTGTATTGTATATATGTTATTGAAAAAAGAGCACGCTGTTGCACAGATAAAGTTCTTCTTTAAGTGCTGTGAAAATTTGGGAGTTCTACAACAAATATGGTGTGAGAAAAGTTGTCCCTCGCAAAAGAGTTTTTGCTATGTTGTACATTTGTAAGACGGAGACAACACATGCGGGTGTGGCGTCCTCTTAATATATTATTAACTATTATTATACCCAAATCACCATCCCGTTTTCTCTTAAAACATTCCAAAAATTAATAATATAACCATTCCAACCCGAACGTAAGTACAGTCTGTTCATACTTGGGATTTTATCGCAATGAACAGGTCATCCATTCCGGTCTTGCGTAACGCATGTTCTCTCCGCCAGCGTTCCTCTTGTGATCGCCACATGTTTCGAGCTTCCTCTCTGAGGACAAAAAAAAATATATTAAATTACACAAATATGGTATGAACGTACATACAGCTGCCTAATTCCCATATATAAATTTTTTTAACCAATATTATTTGGGATTTCCTTAACAAAATAATTTAGTCTATGTACTGTGCCTATGCCTACTTTTATGTATTATATTATGTTACGTCCTACACTCACTCAAACATAAAGTCCATCAAGTACAGTCGCTGGCTCTCATCCTCCTCGTACCGGTCGTACATGTCTCTGAGCTTGTCTACCATGTTGCCCAGATTCACAGATGCCGAGGCGTTTGAGCGACGCACAGTCAATACCAAGTCGTCTAAAAGCTTGCGGTCTTCTCGTAAAAACTCAACCACCTCCTTGGACCTCTGCTTCAATGTGGTCAAATACTGGCGGAGCGCTTTGGCCCTGAAAAATACAGCGAGATGTTAGAAAAACTATTAACAACTTTTATATGGGGAGAGGTAAGAGGATTCTATAAAACAGACATACCCCCAGTCGTTAAAACCATATTCCATTATATATGTTGATTTCCTCTAATTTGTTACATACCTGGACAAGCTTTGCACCTTTTTCCGTTCCAACTGCTCGTTTTTACGCACTTCGTCTTCTACCTGGTCTTGCAAAGACAAGTATGCAGACTCCAATCTCTTGAGCTCGTCACATCGGTCAGAACGGTTTCTACATAAAAACACAAAAAGTATTAACAATGATGTAATGCAGATAGTATGATAGTAGATTAATCCAATTACAACTGTTTTGATTTTTTTCACAGTTAATAAATCTATTTGTTTCGTATACTTTGAATATTTTTATTTTTGTATTTGCGCATAATAATTAAGAGCTTTCATAAATGGTTTTTAGAGCATAACATTGCGCTTATTATTACCCTTTTTTTTAACAATCATGAATATGTTTTTGGGTTGATATACGATAAATATGTTTCTGACCGATTTTTCTTGTCACCGTTACTAATTGATTAAAACACTTTTATGATTCATAGATTTTCTTTGCAGAGGAAAATTATGGAGTAAGTAACGTACTATGGTTTTCATGGTACAAGTCAAGATCACGAACCTCATTTAAGAAAATGGACATTTGTTGCAGGGTACAAAAGGCCATACCTATCGAAACGATTCGTTATGGACGCACAAACTATCAGACTTACTTTAATTCGGCCACGCTACCAATGAGCTCGTCTTTTAACTGAGCCGCCCGATCCTGTCGTGTCCGGTGTTTTTCCACTTCGGCAAATCGATCAGCTGCCGACCGTTCCTCGCTCAACCGCTGTTCGTGTTCCGATCGTTCTCGCCGTTTTTGGTCCGCCGACTTTTTCTCCTCCATCCGGTCGTCCCACGAAGACTCTGACGACCGCTCACGTTCTCGCATTTCGTACTAGCAAAGTAAACAATATGTAAATCAATTTGAATAAATATTTAACAGGCCTATCTAATTATTTAGTTTACTTGGGCTATTTGGTTAGGTTCTAAAAACTTGAAAATATTCGAACTGAGCTGAATATTAAAAAATCAAGCTAATAAGAATCAAAATTCGTATACTGAATTCAACGAAAAACGTGATAAATATTACTAATATTTTTTCGTACTTTTTGTCATCATAATATAGAAATTATACTTCTCAGAATTTGTAGAATTGTTTTTAAGTTAAGATTTGCAGGGCCGGATTGGATAGGCGAGCTACCGAGAAAATCGCGGTGGGGTGTTTGATGTTTGGGCCGGTATTGTGAGTGTGGGTGAAAATAAATTCATGTCTAAAATACGATTTACCACCTATAAGCTCGTAATAATTATAGACGTAATTTTGGACTACTGAATATGTAAATGGGCAGCTTATAGAAGTGAATATCTCGATGGGCCGATACATACCAATCCGACCCTGAAGATTTGGGTTTGATATACAATTTGAATAAAAATTACGCAAATTAATTTTGGGTTTGTAATCAAAAATCAGGATTTGTAACAAGCCTAACTACTTATAATTGTAATATTATTATTTACGCAAGTACACGACCAATGTAATAATACCGATCGATGTGTTAGTTTTTTAGAAACAAGTTACTCATAATATCTTTTTTGTGGTAGTTAATAATGAGACGGTTTTGCAATAAGTGCCTAGGTACCTAAAATATTTTCCAAGTCACGACATCGACAGATTACCATATGGCTATATACAGGCAAATCGTGACGAGAACACTGAGAAGAATAAAATAAATACTGTATAATATATTATAATTAATGAATAATGACTAATGAGTAAATGTACTCACCTGTTTGGCCTGTTTGGGATCGCACGATTTGGATCGCACGTGAAGTCTCAACTCAATCTCCCTGTCTGTAACTGCGTCGTGTTTTCGTTTCAATTCCATGGCCATTTCTTCGCTAGGTGTTTTTTGCCCGGCTGAATTCGGCCTCGACAGTGGTACAGGTTTCTTTTTCATTTGTCCTTTCTTCGGACAGGACAAGGAGGAGAAGTGAAAAAAAAATCGGATTCCATCAATTAATAACCACATATTATGTATAATAAATTACTAAATATTCGATATAGGTAGTTAGTTAAATCACATATAGATATTATTAGTATTTATAAAAACCTTAAATTCCTCGTCCTCGAGCTGTCTGTCCCGTAATTTTTTGCGCCACTTTTGCAATTCTTCTTCTTCTTCCTCGAGTTTTCGCTGTTCTCGTCTTCGCATTTCCAATTGTAGCTCGGAACTGAAGCAAAAGCGTAGGCAACGAATTATGATATTATTCGAAATTTTAACGATAGTATTAATAGGTAGGTTAGGTAAAACAAAAAAGAGGGTAAGTCGTAAATGGTCGTTACTCTGCTGTACAGACGTACAGTATATGTTACAAGTGGGTCACTGTAATGGATGGTGTTAAATTTGAATTCAATAATATAAAATCATTTTAAACGAAAAATTATTCTGAGAGAAGACGATCTGTCAGCCTATAATATTACTAAATATATTTGATGATAATATTGTGATTAAAGTAGTTTTTTGAATTCATAAATTTCACATTCTAAAATATAATTATATACTCTTAAATTTTCATGTACCCACGAAGAATATTTTTAAATTACAACAAAATACCACCTCACTAAAATTATTATTCTTGGTTTTAATATGTAATTTCGTTCAAAGCATTTTATTACATTCTCGAGTTTTTTGACCGACCGAAAATTGTTATATCGACAATACCTATAGTAGAAAAAAAACTAATAAAACTCTACTAAAAGTATTTTGTTAATCCTATAATTAGCTCAAAAATACTTCCAAAATGTTTTAGTGCATAGAAATTGCTAATATACACATAAGTACAGTGAAAATTTTATATATTTTCGGTTATTTTTTAGTCAAATCTTAGTTTTTCCTTAATTTTTTGTTTGTTTTTCCTGACGCTATGGAAACTACTAGGAATTTTTTTTTCTTTTAACCGCCTAAAGTACTAACTAGATTCACCTTCTTACCAGAAAAGATGATGTTTAAAAAGTTTAAGCATTTTTCTGTCTCAAAAAGTGATGACAGACACAAATAAAAATACATTCATCGTTCCACTCAGAATCTAAAAAAACACATTTTTTTTCAATCAATACATTCATCACTCCGTTCAGAATCTAAAATGAGAATGTATAATATGAACTACACCTCCCTTTCTGCAGGAAATTGTTGGTGGCATCATGACACTCACCTTTTTTTGTAGTATTGAGGAGAAGTCCAATTGGTGAACTTGTTCGAGTTGTTCTCCCAAGTCTTGAAGTACTGGGTCACACCGGCCCATTGCTCTCTAGCTTCGCACTCGGCCGCGCGCTTCTTATGCAACGCCTCGTATACCTTTGCGGGATTCGCCCGACGGTTGTTGTTGCAGCTCTTTTGACTCATGTTATATGATTGTCTTAGGATTATTTTCGGATCTCACTTTCACTCAAATCTGTCAAAAGTCAGCCATACTGTGTACACGAAAATATCAAATCCGTAGTTTTAGCAAGCCCAAACGAAAAGATATATCACCCAATACCTACATTAATTAAGTAGATACATGGTTACGATAATAGTTATGATTAGGTTACTTTAAGGCATAAACTATAAAAGTTACATTTACTTACAATACACGACAATCGCATCAAGTAATTGAAGTAAAAATAATATTGCATAGCCAATACAATTTAACCTAACTACTATAATATTAAATACATAATAGGACAATAGGTACTGCCGTTGCTAGGGCCTAACACCCTAAGTCACCCTTATTAGGTAATAGGTAAATAGTCCCTTCAAATAATAAAAAAAAAAGTTTTCACCTACCAATATGTACCTATTGATTTTTTTCTTTTATAATATAGTTTGTTTAATTTTTCTCTCAGACCGAACATCTTTCATTTCACAGCAGACATTCACACAATCGATATCATATTATAAAACCATGCGGGTATCAACAAAATTGTAAAAATATGATCAACAAGTGTTGTGTAAATAATAGTAAATTTTCATTATTCTCTGCATTCACTAAGTACATAATATATTTATATACCAATTTATACTAATTATTTCTACTTCCTAAAATATGATAAACTAGCTTTTCACTTCCTTCCTAGTTCTTACTTTGAAATACTGTGTTTGTATTCAGTACTGTAAACCGTTGCCATGGCAATTAAAATAAAATCTTCATTCCTCTACTCGAGTACATGTACAATATGTACCTATTGTTACACCATTTACTGGATAAATAAGGTACATTATATCACTGATCTTAATCTTAATATTAGTTAGATGAACATATTATAAACATTTAATATCAATATAAAAAAATAATATCAACTGAATAGGAACTATCTGAGAATTTTTACTTACTAGAATTATCAATATCTATTATAGCTGTACCCAGACACAATTTAACACCAACAAGAACATATAAATACAACATAATATTATTTAACATATCGAAAATGTTGAATTATGAAGTGTTAAATAACTGACAAGTGTAATTAAACTAATACAAAATGGTTAGGTATGCCACAAGTCACAAATAATAAATTAAATAATCACTCATTAGATAACATATAAAACCACTAATAACGTATAAGGAGGGAAATTAATTAATAAGTATTAGTTTCAAATTAAAACTAACAAATGTAAACTCATAAGTCATTAGTAAAAAAATTAAAACCAAATTCAGTCGTTAAAAACAACGTTATCATCATTTAAAAAAATTAAAATGACAACAAATTTCTTATCTATAATCACGACAACCTAACCTACAAAAAAAAATACTCGAAAATATAGATAACAAATAATTTAAAAGTAGCCAATGGATATTGTTCTATCGTTCTATGCTATGGATGATCTGTCTGAGTTTTTAAAACATAATTAAAACAAACCATTAAACTAATTCAGGGGCGGACTGGCTTCTTTAGAGCGGCCCGGGAATTTTTTTTAAAGTGGCCCAAAAACTATTGTCTAACCTAATTATAACATTTATGTTTAAAATACGACACATTTTTTCCATTGCATATTCAAAATATAAATAATAACAGCAGATATATAATGCGTTTTAGGTAATATATTTAATTTATTGGCTTAAGGAATTAATAATTTATGAAATGTTTTGCTTTTTTAGGCTAAACGGTCTATAACCGTTTGGTGCTGTATGTAAATTAAAATATTTTTTTCTGTAGCCATTAAGACAAAAGCTTCTAGATTATTCCGTGTCATGCTATTCCGAGAAGACAATTTCATTCATTTTTATAGTATAAAAAACAATTAAAAATTTAATAAATGAATTCATATTTATTTTATTATTTAAATATGTTGTTGTTGCATACATATTAATATATTATTAATTATAATTTAGTAAAATAGTTCACGACTCACATTGTATTGCCATTTGCCGCGCAAACCAAATTTTACAAAATTGTCTAAAATAGTATTATCTTCTATATTTATCTTACCTTTTAAAAGGCGATATCGGGATCGTAAATATTCAAAAGGTACGTGCTTCTTTCCAGTAGTCAATGCAAAATATAAATTAACTATTATTAGTTATTACAATATTACAGACGACAGACTCGTGAACGAAATACGAAAACAGTATATATTATTTTTAAATAATATTATATTGAATTATCGTATACAAACAAATAGTGATACCGTCACTGATACAAACCCAAATGGTTGCCGGATGCGTTATTGGCTATTATTTCTATTTATATAAACTAAAATTATTTTTATAACTGTGTCTTAGAACAACAAAATATAATTTTTGGTATGATTATTATCGTATTATTTATGTTATATTTTATAGATTTTAAATACACCAAATACTGAATACTGTATTATTAAAATTTAAAAATCATAATATAAGTTAGTTATTTGTACAATCAAAATGCCCCCGCCGAGACGGCCTATAATCCCATTATTCGACCGGCCCATCGGGAAATTTCCCGATCTCCCGATCTGCCAGTCCGCCCATGAACTAATTAATCATCGCTTTTATGCAACCCGGCATAAATATAGGTAGCCTACATTATGGCTTATTCAGCAATACTGCCGTGTTTTAACATATAACAATATAGCCATATAGGCACCTACATAAATAGGTACCTACATAAAAATTTTAAAATCGGATAGTGATAGTCACTCGGATACGTTTTATTAACGTAGGAAACATCCCGACAAGATTCGGATTATGATCAGGTGCCAGCACAATGTTTATTATTATTTTGTGATTTTGTATTGTATATCCTGCAGATTTTTTCTCGGTGATACCTACTAGTTAATACAATAAATACTAAATACCTAGTAAATTTACGTAGGTAACGTAGTACGTAGGACTTGAATATTTACATACTTACGTAGGTACCAGCTATAATTTTATATTATATTATATTTGACTCTATTTTATACTTTATTAGCTAATACTTTTTTCAATTATACATAGCCTGTTTTTGTTATTATTTGATTAATATTTCATTTTAAAAATATATTTATTCTATAAATTCAATTTGTTCTCTAAATAGCTTCCTCCTGACTATTCACTTTTTTTTTAGACCCCTTACTAAAATGTTGTTCAGATGTAGGTAACTGTTGTCGTTGTAAAAAGTGGTATAATCACACTCTCAGAGTTAGTGAAAAAACAGATAAAACTGTAGGAATTTGGTTTGATAATGTTTTAAAGGCGTTTTATATAGGCAATTCCAATAAAATTTCTAAATTATTGTATTAACTTTGAGACGTTTTAAAACTTTTCGGAAAAGTCTGTTTTTAAAGGAACATATAGTATACCCGTTGGAATGATTCCTAGTTCTCGAGGACATAATAATATTAGAATTTAGAATATTGTGATGGTGAAAAATTCGGAGCGCCTTTTCAAAGTTTCAACATTAAAATGGGCTTCCTTATACAGAGTGATTCGGCAAGTATGCTCACCTTCATTTTTTATTTTAACAATGAAATGATTCATATTCTGGATTTGGATTTTTAAATATACTTACTTGAAGACCATGTTTTCAAATTATTGACATTTTTTGTACTTCTTAAGGTGTGTAGTATTATCACTAGTGTGGCAACTGGCTATACAAACTTATATTTTTCAAATGAGAATCCCCCTTCTCTTCTATGAATTATTTAGCATATAATTATTTTTCAAAATTTTTATGAACCTAATTCAAAATTAGTATATATACAGGGTGTCCCGTGAGAATTTACTCATTGCGATATCTCCTGAAATAATATAGATATCGTAATTCTGTTTTCTTATTAAGACTCACAGAGGTAAGCACTACAAATAACTAATTTTTTATTTTTTTTTTATGTTTTGGTAAAAAAGTTAAAAAATTATTTTTTAATTAATTATTTAAAAAAATATTGAAGATTGCCATTTTGTAGAGTTCATTTTTCTGAAAATATTGACGTTTCAAACATTTTAATTTCATTAATTTCCTGATTTTTAATAATTTTTTTAATTAATAAGTAAGACAGCAAAAAACCAGTTTTTGTCCGGGCGGCGAGTCCCCCTCTACGGCTAATAGGTAAATCCTCACGGGACACCCTGTATATATATATATATAATAAGTAGTTTCTCAGTTATTAAAATGTTTGTACTAAAAAAAACAGTCCTTAAAATTAGTCCTTACAAATTAAATAGATTAATACAAAATTACTAAAATGTTTAAATTACCATAATACATTTATCTTCTTATCTCATATTGTAATGAACCTATTGTATCCTTACACAAATTAAAATAACTCAAAAACTACTCGTTCGAATTCTTATCTCGATACATCAAAATTTTGAGAAAAATTATCCGCTAAATAATTTACTATATTAAAATGAGGGCGACCCCATTACCGAACAAATGTCCAAAATACGCATAAGACAAAACCACACACAGGATTTCAAATACTAAATATCCCAGTACCAAACACAAATTTAGTCTTGCACATGGCAATAAAAGCCATAATTCGAAGTTTGGATACTCGAAGAAATTCTTTAAAACCATTAGACACTTTTTTATGCTTAAGAAATAATATTTCAGTGGTACATATAACTGTACATTTTTTTCGATAGTAGCTACTACTGCCTAGGCATTAGTGGGAGCCATCTGGTTTTACTGTAGACCAGTAATTTCTGGTACTCAGTTCTACCTTCTCACATTTTAATTTTCTTTAATTCTTGGTCTACCTTCTGAAAATTGGACACAAAAGATTCCCTGTCTAACGGGACAGAGGTATGAACAACGAGCCGTATTAATACCCTATTATATTATACATCTACTAGATACATACAATTTTTAATTATTTTGTAACACTCACACATTTTTGATTTTTTAATTTCGATTGAGTTTTTTAATTTTATGGAATTTGAATTCAATTCTAGGTAATAT